CTACATGGTAATTATTCCGTTGCACTTAAAATAGGTAACCACACTCTAACGTGAGTTAAATCTCCAACTCTCTCCCCAGTAAGTGGTATCAGAGCGTGTCCTGATTGCTTCAATTGATCTTTACTCATTTTGATTGTTTCGTGTGCATCTGAGTGTCTGATTGTTGGATGAAATCTGATCTGTGTCACATTTTCATTTCAAATTTATTGTGTGTCTGTGTGTGCACTTCCGTTTGTTATGTTAGCATCTGTCTGATTGTTTTTCATCATGAGTTTCTTCACTGAAGGAGGATTTGCTTGTAGACCACCTCTATTAGAAGAACCTAACTACTATACATGGAGACCTAGGATGTGTGCCTTCCTTAAGTCTATAGCTGAAAGAGTATGGTCCACAGTTGTGAATGGTTGAACACCCTCAGTTATTGTTGAAAATGAAGTGTCTAGACTAAAACCTGTTGCTAGTTGGACTGTTGATGAGATAACTCTAGCAAACTATAACTCTAAAGCCCTTCATGATCTCTTTAATGCTGTTAATGTGAATAAATGAAAGTTGTAGCCAATTGTGAGCTTGCTAAAGATGCTTGGGATAGGCTTCAAGTAAAAAATGAAGGCACTAGTACCATTAAAAAAGATAGGCTTAGAAGACTTGTCACTGATTTTGAAAATCTGAACATGAAAGATGATGAGACTATAACTAATTTTTATGATAGAATTTGTGATATTTCTAATAAGTATTTTGCTTTGGGAAGAAGAACATATACTAATGCTGAACTTATTAGGAAAGTACTTTGCTCTTTACCTCTAGTGATATTTCTAATAAGTATTTTACTTTGGGAAGAGCATATACTAATGCTGAACTTATTAGGAAAGTACTTTGCTCTTTACCTCNTCCGTTTGTTATGTTAGCATCTGTCTGATTGTTTTTCATCATGAGTTTCTTCACTGAAGGAGGATTTGCTTGTAGACCACCTCTATTAGAAGAACCTAACTACTATACATGGAGACCTAGGATGTGTGCCTTCCTTAAGTCTATAGCTGAAAGAGTATGGTCCACAGTTGTGAATGGTTGGACACCCTCAGTTATTGTTGAAAATGAAGTGTCTAGACTAAAATCTGTTGCTAGTTGGACTGTTGATGAGATAACTCTAGCAAACTATAACTCTAAAGCCCTTCATGATCTCTTTAATGCTGTTAATGTGAATAAATGAAAGTTGTAGCCAATTGGGAGCTTGCTAAAGATGCTTGGGATAGGCTTCAAGTAAAAAATGAAGGCACTAGTACCATTAAAAAAGATAGGCTTAGAAAACTTGTCACTGATTTTGAAAATCTGAAAATGAAAGATGATGAGACTATAACTGATTTTTATGATAGAATTTGTGATATTTCTAATAAATATTTTGCTTTGGGAAGAACATATACTAATGCTGAACTTATTAGGAAAGTACTTTGCTCTTTACCTCTTGTGATATTTCTAATAAGTATTTTACTTTGGGAAGAACATATACAAATGCTGAACTTATTAGGAAAGTACTTTGCTCTTTACCTCGGAGGTTTATGTCAAAGGTCACCACAATTGAAGAATGTCAAGATATGGATGCTATGGACATTGATGAACTCATTGGCTCTCTCCAAACCTATGAGTTGAATATGCAATGCTAGAAAAAACAGAAATCGAGTAAAGGTTTAACTCGCAAACGTGAGGTTGATTATGATCCTTTTGATGATTGTGATTTAAGTTCATTGGATGATGAAAATCATGCTTTACTTACAAAGAATTTTGCTAATTTTCTTAAGAAAAACATGAAAAAGCCTCATAATAGTGGTTATGGCCGAAAACCTTTTGTGAAAAAGTTCTATGACCATCAAACCCTTGGTACCTTTACAAAGAAGTTTTCAAAAGATAAAGAAAAGAAAAACAAACGTATCAAGTGTTTTGAATGTGAGGGTTTTGGGCACATACAATCTGAGTGTGCTAAAACACTGAAAAAGAAGAAAGGTAAAGCTATGGCTACCACTTTAAGTGAGAGTGAGCATGATGAGAGTGTGATGATGATTCGGGAGATGATGAAAATGTTCTTGCATTCACCGTGAATCAAGAAGATGGTAAGAGTGAGGTTTTGAATGACACTGTTGATATTTATGTTGAGCAAGAAGAGGTATATGATAAAATGTATGACCAATGGCTAAAGGTTGTGAAAAAGTTGCAATCTCTTGGTATTGAGAATGCTACTTTGTTGAAACAAAAGAAAACCTTATCCAAAAAGATTGTTGTTCTTACTACTGAACTAATTGAGGCTAAGACCATCATTGATAAATTAAATGTTGATTCCCTTAAGCTGGATGAAGTACTTGGTCAAGGGAAATCATTTAGAGATCGATATGGTTTGGGCTTCAGTCTTAGTGCTAGCACATCGAAAGCTAGTGCAAGCACATTTGTGAAGGACACCAAAACTTTTGCTAAAGGTACAACTGTGAGATAGGCTATGAAGGTATCAAAATTCATTCCTATTTTGCCATTTTTGTAACAGGAAATGTCACATCAGACCTAAATGCTTCAGGTTCATTGCTTATTTGAAGAAATTTTTTAAAAACCATAGTTTTGTTGCTAATGTAAATCATAATGCTAATGATGATTTTTCTTCCAAAAGTGTTTGGAAACCTAAGGCTGATGTGAACTATTTTGTGTCTCATACTTCTTTGCTTGCATTTCAAAATGATCTTTGGTATCTAGACAGTGGTTATTCAAGGCATATGACAGGTAATAATCTCTTTTGACTGAACTTGAATCAGTTAATAGTGAACTTGTCACTTATGGAGATGGAAAGAAAGGTAAAATTCTTGGCAAATAGTCAATTGTGCTACCTGATTTTCCTATTTTAAAAGATATCTTACTTATTGATAGTTTGAAAGCTATTTTGATTAGTATTAGTCAAATTTGTGACAAAGATTTTATGGTTTAATTCTCAAAGGACAAGTGTCAAATTTTGAATGGTAAAGGTGTTTCTCTACTTGAGGGAAAAATGTCAAATGACAATTGTTACTTGCTTTCTAACCATGTGTCTTATTTTAGTTCTAAAATAGATTCAACAAACTTGTGGCATGAGAAACTTGGTCACATGAACTTCAAGGACTTGGTAAGACTCTAAAAAAAGAAAGCAGTTAAAGGACTACCAAAACTTGAACTTCTAAAAGGTAATGTGTGTGGTCCATGTCAACAAGGTAAGCAAACCAGAATATCTCATAAAGCTTTATCAAATCTCAATACCTCATGTGTTTTGGAATTGCTCCATATGGATCTAATGTGGTCTATACAAACTGGAGTTTGGGAGGTAAGAGGTATGTGTTTGTTTGTGTTGATGATTTTTCAAGGTATGCTTGGGTTGATTTTTTATGTCAAAAATTTGGTTCATTTAATGCATTTCAGAAATTGGTCAAAAGGTTGCTTGTTGAGAAGAGTTCTAAAGCTACAAGGATAATGAATATAAAGAGTGATCATCGAAAGGAATTACCATGGAAATGAATTTGAGAATGCTGATTTTGCTAACTTTTATGAATTGCAGGGCACATTCCATGAATTTTAAGCACCAAAAACACCTCAACAAAATGGTGTTGTGGAAAGGAAAAACATAGTGGTTCAAGAGATGGCTAGGGTGATGCTTAATGCCAAAAAGTTTCATACAAGACTTTGGGCCGAAACTATTAACACAACATGTCATATTTCTAACAAGGTTTATCTTAGAAAAGGTACTGTTCAAACTCTCTATGAGCTGTGGAAATGTAAGAAACCTGATCTCTCTTATTTTCATATGTTTGGATGTAAATGCTACATTTTGAATGATAGAAAGAATTTAGGTGAGTTTGATTCTAGGAGTGATGAAGGAGTTTCCATTGGTTATTCATCTAATAGTTGTGCATTCAGGATCTATAATATACGTTCTGAAAAAGTCTTAGAATCTATTAATGTTGTGTTTATTAATATTCTGTTTTTATAATAAAATATTGTCGAAATAAAAAGAAGTCAAATTTTTTTTTCGCGGGTATTAAAAGGTGAGAGAGGTTTCTAGTGGAAGTATTTTTTATATTGATGGTTTATGAAAGATTGAGAGATCAAGTACAGAGACCTATCACGTGAATATCGATGAAAGTAAAATTAAAAGTCTGTAGATTAAAAGGAGGAAGAAGACGCTGCCTTCCAGTTCGAGCAAGAAGAGACTTTGACAAGTCGTCCTTCGGACACACCAAAGCATTCAGAAATGAAACGTACACCAAGAGTGCTTTGACAAGACGTCTTTGGACACACCAAGATGTGCTTTTAGTGGACTATAATTTTGTAAAAGCAGATTCTTATAAATTTATCCAAAACGTGTTTCATGGTTTGTTCTTATATAATTGTTCTATCTGCAACATTATTCTCCATCAACATCTCTTTAGTTTCTATTCATGGGACCTGAAGACCATTACTGAGAATAATTGGTTTACAATGGAGGAGACTCACCATGTGAACGAATTAATAATAGACCTTATGATTATTGTATTCCAAAGACCCACATACCCTAGATGGTGAAAGCTGCAATGTTATTTGAGCAAATATTAAGAATACTTATTTCTATAGAGAGAACATAAAAGACTACCCTTTAAGGTTTTTGAATTTATTATTGGATGATATAATTTTTGTATTTTTTATCACATGGACCGTCAAAGTTTAATTTTGAAAACTATATCACTGATACCTCTTTACTCTAACTTCATTATGTTGCCGATAGTGTTAGATGGATAAAATAATAACTTTGATTTTACAACAAAGTGTTGGGGTAAAATAATAATTTGAGCTTATTAGATAGAAAGTGTTTTGTAAACTGAATTATAATGTAAGGAAATTAGGGCAAAGGCCAAAGGGGTATCACTGTATCAATGATAAAGTTTTCAAAATTTTAAGGGTCCATTTAACAAGGCAAACGAGTATCAGAGTTACATTTTTCAAACTTTAAGGTTTCATTAGATAAATAGTGCTGAATTTGTTATCCAAATGATAAATGAAAAACCTTGACGGCCGTCTAGATATTCTTCCATTTCTATATATATAGCTAACGTTTATGATGAATTTCCATGAAACTAATGCTCAAAGAAAAGGAGCGAGGGGCTCACAGAACCATAAATATTAATTAATTATTGCTCTTAATCATCTTCATTTGTTGTTATTGCAGATCATAATCCTGTTACTCTGGACAATCAAATTCAAAGCATCAGAAGCTTCATGTCAAACGAGTTGTGGTAAAGTCCAAATAAGCTATCCCTTTGGAATTGAAGCAGGCTGCTTCTTCAATGAACGGTTTGAAATAACCTGCAACATCTCTTCTACTCCCTCTGGACAACCTTTCTTGACTAAGATGAAGCTGAAACTAGCAGAAGACACTGCTGCTATGAGCTTCGGGATAGGTGTCGAAATGCCTGCAATTTCTTTAAAAAACACTTCTACAGGTAAGGGTGTTCAAAAGAACTAATTGGAACTGGAATCGACGGGTACTCGAGGTTTGGTTCTGGTTCTTACCTAGAACCAGCTGTCAATGGGTAGGTTCTGGTTTCAAATTTTTGGAATTGTTACTGTACGGTTCCAGTTTTGGTTCCAGTTCTATAGGAACCGGAACCAAAACTGGGAACCGAGACTAATATAAAATAAAATTTAAGAGTATGGGGTTAATAAAAACTTTTGTAGAAAAAATAATGTGAATACCTTTATATTTATATTTCATAACATTTAAAGTCTGTTGGTTTGACTTTTGAGAATCTACCTTTACAAAGTAATGGAGTTTGTAATTTTGAATTTATAATTTGTAATTTTATTTTTGTTAACAAGTGCCAGGTGGGGGTATTGTAAGTTTTTAAGGGTTTTTTTGTCATTTTAAAAATTTTGGGAGTCATTGAATTTTACAGGTACCCCAAAACCGGAATCATTGTTACAGGTTTCGATTTGGTACCTAGGACCCGAACCATCGTTTCTGGTTCTGTTTGGTTTCAATTTCAAGGACCCGTCGGTTCCGGTTCCGGTTCCGATTTCGGTTCCTTCAAAAAATGCGGATACTCGAACCGAACACCCCTAGTTTATCCTACTAAAGATTTTTTGTCTTTTCTAATCTTTTATTGACATTTGTTACAATATTTGTTTTATTATTATGTTATCATTTATCTTCTTGGCTTGGTTACATTCATAATCTATAATTGAAATATGCTCTTAATTAATTACCTATATTAATTTTGCAGAGAGAAAGTAATGCACAATTTAAGGTGTCGCTGGAAGTTTTCAGCTACAGATAGGGGATGAGCTTTTGATGTAACAAAGCAAGACATACAAAATGAAGAGAATCATCTCTTTGTGTGACATGATGAACAGGTTATTAGTTTTTTAATAACTAGATCTAGCAGTTTGTTAATAACGTTATGATCCCATAGATCAAAACCTCAGGATGAAATCGTAACTTTATCAAGTTTGAGAATAGTGTCTAATTAATTGTAATTGCTATTAGATTAACATTGTTATGTAAACGTAATTCCCTATATTTTTGTTTTACTGTAATAGGTTAATTATGCAGGGAATCATGGAAGCATAGGAAAGTTCAAAAGAAGCTAATTGTAATGCCATCATCTTATCGTCTTCTTCTCATATTCATTGACTGCCAGATTGACTCTCAACGACCGAGAATCCCAAGGTTAAGAGCTGCCCGACAGAAATTGATCCAGATTGGTTGATGATGCAAGAAGCTAGAAGGCGCTAATCTATTGATCACAAATTAATTTTTTTTTTTTTTTTAATTAAGGCTTCGTTTGATACGAATAATCTGAATAGAGTTTATATATTGAAGTAGGGGTTTTATTAGAGTCTGAACTTGTTAATTGTTTGGTTAAGAAGATGAAAAAGTTTTCTAGTAATAATATATCAAAACTTTTTTAATATACAAGAATGGATTTCTGTCAAATTATAAAATACGATAGAGATATTTGAAAATTTTAACACTTCATGTAAGCTCAAACAGAGTTTATGGGATCTGATCAGATTCTCTGATAAGCTATAAAATAATTTACTTAAAATCTTAGATGTACTTTTGAGTTGTAACAACAATTTAAAGAAATTTCAAAAGTGCTTATATTTTAAATAAGCTCTTTTAACCAAGCAAAGCAAGACATAAGTTAAAGTCGTTTAATCACTGGTGTTGACCAAGGTTGAATTTTTCATTTAAGTGTAAAAAGGAGAAATGGTGCCGTTTCTCTCTTTACTTTCCTCTTTGTTTGCTTTATTCACTCTCTCTCTCTCGTTCACTCACTCACCTCTTCATATAAAAGTGGTTAACCTTCTCTGTAACAGTTAGCAAAACAAGTAATACCAGAGCATCTTCTTCCCAAAATTTTTCACTTCTTTCTAATTTCACATGGTATCAGAGACCCTAGACTAACGTCATGGCCAATCGTCTGAATCAAATCAGTTTGTGATCATACGCGCGATGTCTCAAATTTCCAGTCACAATTTCACCTCAGCTTTTCCTTCGTGTCTTCAAGTCATAACCCCAAATTGACTCGCGACAATTACGAGATAACTACCGATTTTGAAGTTCCAAGTAATTTCAGCTGTTGGAGCTCATGAATTAGAAGATCATCTCATAGGTTTGATTTCTTGTCCTTCTCCTTTAATCAGTGTTGAAGATAGTTGTTAGTGAATCAGGAAAGTTAGTTCGAAAGATACCTTGGTTAAGAAATAGTAAATCCATTATGTTGCATGGAAAAAGACTGTAGTTTTTGGTAACCTGGTTGTTAGCCTCAATTTCTAAGTGCATGTTTTCGTATGTATCAAAGTGTCAGTCTTCAACTGCTATTTGGTTAACACTTGAGAATGAATTCTTGAAGGATTCAAAAGCAAGAGCTCTGCATTTGAAAAATTTACTGCAAAAACGCAAAAGGAAACCTAATGTTAGTGAATACATTAAGAAATAAGGGATAGCTGAAAATTTGTCAGCAGTGGGCAAGTAATTCCTGATGAAGATTTGCTCCAATAATTCTTGATGGTCTAGACCAGAGTTTGATGCTGTCGTAGTTAACTTGACATCCAGATTGATTCCAAGTTTGATTCAGTTACTCTTCGAAGCATAGTACTTACTTCAAAGTTTGAGATGAGAATGAAAATTTAATTCCATTAATTTTCAAAGCTCTGTTCATCTTGCTTCCATTAGTATCCAGAACGCAACTGATCAGTCCAATGTTGCTCAATCCATACGTTCTCCTAGCCTAATACTACAATCTGACACCACCATACTCCTATCCTACTAGTACTCATCCTCTTACCCATTCACTATCCCTCAATTACATCCTCTACAACCTCAGATTGCTCCCAGAAATCAATTCCCAGTATCCTTTAATAATCCCGTTGATCACTACACTTACTCAGCTCACATAGACAATACAAACACCTTTTCCAGCAAATAATCCATCTAGTTTTAACCAGTTTGGAAGAGGTAGAGGAAGAGGTACTAATAGCAAGGGAAGACATTTGTCAAGTGTGTAATAAAATTGGACATACTGCAGTCCAATGTTATCACCGGTACAACTCTTACTTATAATGGTGTGCCACCACCTACAGGAGGTCACATTGGACAACCACTAGTCCTATCACTCATTTTCAGCAGTCCAATACACCATATGGCCATCAGTCGAACAGCCACACTCAACCACATAGAGTATCACTTGGTTCTCATGATGTCAATAATATGCACCTCAATTTGTCCACCATCCTCAGCAAACACAATACACGGTCCCTACTACTTATGTACCTGGTCAGCAACACATTCGATCACCAGACAGCAACAACTTTCAGCCACAACAGAATCTTGCCGCATCATCTGGAGTAAACTCAATTGGTTCCTCATACTCTTGCTCCTGTTTCACAAGGGGTCAAAGTTCCCAGTCAACAACCTAGTGGTTCCAGTCAAGCATATTGGTTGCAAATCAGAATCAGACATTTTCTGGTCCTGCTAACAAAGGATGCTCTCTGACTGTCTCTCAGCCCCTTGCCAAGATCCTGCTTGGTACATGGACTCAAGTGCAACTGACTATGTCACGCTGACCTAAATCACCTCAATATTGCCACAACTATATGGAGCTAGCAACTTCAAGTAGGTAGTGGTGAGTTTCTTCATATCTCTCATGTAGGACTTACTCTCTTACCTAATCTCTTAAATCTAAATGTCTTTACCTGAAAAATGTGTTGTGTGTGCCTAGAATTCCAAAAACTTACTTAGTATATCTAAATTTACTAAGGATAACAATGTTGTAGTTGAATTTTCTGCTGATAGCTGTGTGGTAAAGGATAAAATTACAATACAGTGTTACTGCAGGAAACTTAAAGCTGGGTTGTACCAATTGAATCTATCCTCTGTCCTGCCCTCCACTCACCAAAAGTTTGCTCACCTTCTGTTTTTCCTCGGCTGCCAGTCTCGTCTGTCTCCAAGACTTTTGCTAGTACTACTAAGCCTAACTGTCCAGTATCCATCCATTGTTGACCTTGTATCACTTTAGATAAGTCCAATAATGATGTCTAATTGTTTTGGTGATGTTTGTAGTTCTTTTGTTGCAAATAAATTGCATCTGATGTATCCATTAAATCAAAGGCATCAACTTGTAATGTCAATGCACCTTGCTCAATTACGTAATTCGGTTATCTTAATAAAAACTTGGATTTTCTACTTGTTTAAATGACAACTCTTCAATACTACATCATCACAATACTGATTACTACACACCATCTGATAATTTTATATATAACACCATCACATGTGCATAATTGCTTGCATTCTACTTTAGCTTGGCCAATCACTGATTCCCTCATGATTCTGCTCTTATGACTGGCATAATAGACTAGGGCACCCATATGCTGAAAGTCTTCAAAAAATTCTCCTACAAATCCCCAGCTTATCATGTCCAGAAATAAATCTTCTATTTCTTTTGTGATTCTGTCAGTTAGGAAAACTTCATAAAACCATTTTCCTGTCTCACATTCAAAGCTACGCTCCCTAGAACTTATTCACAGTGACATTTGGGCCTGCCCCAGTGTTATCTTTAGAGGGTTTTAGATATTATGTACAATTCATTGATGACTTCAGTAGATTTACATGGCTTTTTCCATTAAGAACAAAGCGAAGTAGCTTATGTTTTCATCAAGTTTCATCACCTAGTGAGGAGACAATTTAATCACAAACTTAATTGTCTCCAATCTGATCAAGGGAGTGAATATAGAGGCTTAATTTCCTACTTAACGACTGTTGGAATTCAGTTTAGACACTCTTGTTCTATGTCACCAACAAAATGGTAGAAGTGAGAGGAAACTAGACATGTAGTTGAGACAGGCCTAACTTGTTAGCTCATGCATCCATGCCCATGCATCTTTGGTGGTGTGCATTTGACACAGCAGTTTTCTTAATAAATGAACGCCCTCATCTGTGTTAAATTTTGTTTCACCTTATCAAGTTTTATTTGGTCGAGTCCCTCTTTATTCGTCCTTGAAAATTTTTGGTTGTGCATGTTTTCCTTATTTACTGACTTTAATCAACACAAGTTTAGTTTCCATTCCTCAAAATGTGTTTTTATAGCTTAGTCTAGTTCACAAAGGCTATAAATGCTTGTCTTCCAATGGAAAAAATTTCATTACACCAAGTGTCAAATTCAATGAAAATGAGTTCCCTTATATGTATCTTTCACCCTTCAGTTTCCTCTCTTCACCTGTCACAGTCATGAACCTATCCTACCCAATTTTCCTTTTGTCTCTCATTCACAATCTCCAACTCTCGAATCCTACTGTCTTAAACCATACTTCTGATCCTACACTTTCTAAACCTCATTCTCAGCTAAACTATGGATACATCTCCTCCCATCAACTCAATTCCAACGAAGTCTCTCTCCAACAACCTGTCCTGTGATTAGTTCTTCACCACAGTTAATCAGTATAATTCTTCCACAACACTGATTTTCCTACTTCCTCACCATACTCATCAGATTTACAACCTGCCCCTTTAACACATTCACAGATTTACAACCTGCACCTTTAACATATTCACCATTTTTACAACCTGCGCCTTTAACACATCCACCCTGCAACCTGGAAATAACCCACACGATGCTCAACCTGTCAATTCTTCTGTCTTCCCATATGTTGAAATTCCACCACTCTACCATCTTGAAGTTGATTTATCTTCATCTAGTTTCCTTCTTCCTCACAACCTTCTCTTTTCCCTACAAACACTCACCCATGATAACAGGCTAAAGCTGCCCAAACTAAAACTGCCCTCCTTACAGCCAATGAACCACCTGCTCAAGCTAACCTATTTCAGTTAAAGCCTTAGTCAGTGATGAATGGAGAGCACCATGAAGGCGGAATTTATGCACTTGAAAGGAACCAAACTTGGACTCTTGTTCCAGCCACTGCTGATATGACCATATGGGGAATAAATGGGTATTTAGAAGGAAATTCAATGCAGATGGCTCCCTTCAGATAAGCCAGGCTTGTACAAAGGATTCCAACAAACCCCTGGCCTAGACTACTTTGAGACTTCAGCCCTGTTGTGAAACCATCCACCATCAGAATTACATCACACTTGCTTTTTCTAATGGGTGGGAGATACAACAAATTGATATCAATAATGCCTTCTTAAATGGCACCCTTATGAAGCTGTTTTTATGAAGCAACCAGAGGGCTTTGTTGACTCCCATCTTCCTCATTTTGTATGCAAATTAATAACCCTTTATGGTCTCAACACAGCACCTGGGCTTGGTTTGACAAGTTAAGAAGCTCTTTTATAGAGGTTTTCAGAATTCCATTTCAGACACTAGTTTATTCACTTTGCATCATGATGGCCATATGATCTATCTCCTCATATACGTAGATGACATCTTGATTACTGGCAGTACACTCAGTTTATACATCAATTAATTCAGGATTTAACAGCCAATTTTCTCTAAAAGCTCTCGGTAAA